TAATGAAAAAGTAAGAGTGCCTATTAAATTTGCAGAAGATATAAGTCTGGGAGGGATTGCAAGCACACTGGAGACAGAACTAGAATCCAGATTCAGTTTCAGACATCTTGATGAACTGGGAAACTGGTCAAGAAAAAGTTATATAAGATTTAGTATGGGTAAGAAAGAAAATGGATGCTATGAATAACCAACTGCAGAAGTACTGGGTAGAGAGCAATTGGCTAGATTCTTCAGAAGACGATTTTGAGGTTATTGTGCATCCCAAGATGAACATTAGCTACCTGTTGTGAAAAGCCAAATGCCATACCCTGGGATTGTTGAATACATGTTTGGAAACTATTCAAGAAGGCAATGGGCCATTGTTAGAGAGTCCGAATGACAACAGCAGATATTATTAGAGAAACTGTTATAGAAAATGTGATTTCTGGGCAATGTTGAAAGCATTGGTGTTATTAAGTTGTAAAAAGATAAGGGTACTGTTGGGGAAAGGAATGATAAAATTTCATGTAGATTAAAGACCGTTGCAAAGATGAAGGTAATAATCTATTCTCCATGTTCCTAATAGACTGGAAAAGAAGCTATGCAGCAGGAAACGAGCTATATTTCAAGAAATCTTTCTAATAGTAAGATTAGTTGAGCAAGAGAATAGGTCTTGCAGCCTAGCAAGTTGCAAAATCTTGATTTATTGTAAGTCTTCAAAATCAAGTTGGACAAACATCTGTCTGAAGTTGTGCAGACATAGTTGAATCTGGTTTAAAGAAGGACAGACTTGGGTGAACTTTCAGGGTCCTCCCAGCCCTGTTTTTAGACGGTGCTATGGCCACATTTTATATCTAAACCCATAGTGAAAACACATATGCCACCCTAGGGAGTATATGTATGTATTTTTAATTTTCAAGATGAGGCAGGTAGCTAACTTGTATATGCTCTTACCTCACAACATACACCACAAACCTAGGGTGTTTCTTGCTTTTCATTCTTGTCCTTAAAGTCTCCATATGGCTTTCTCAGTTAACCTCCAAGTTTTCTTGCAACTTGCAGAGACCAAGGAGATAGAGATCTTCAGTGCACCCATCTGAAATCAGAAGTTGTGTAGATGCAGTTGTAGGCAAGGTGCAGGCTTGCTTTGGCTGAGTAATCTTCCAGTCCACGGTAAAAGATACCTGTTACCTTGACTGGCTGCTTGGGAACCTCCCTGATTGCTTGGAAAACTGTTACAAACATATATTTCTTCTAAAGTACCCTTTTGAACTTTCCCCAGGCTGGCTTAAAAACCACAAAAACCAGCAAACCAAATGAAAAAAACAGCTGAGGGTTCAGAGTTTATGCACGTTACCTATCTAATTGCTTTCTAGAGGAGTCAGGAATACCAGGAGATGGCATACTGCTTCAAAGCATACAAAGCAATGTACATCAATAGAACTGAAGTTGCATCAGAGGAAAATGCTCTCTGCAGTGGCTGTTCCTCAGCATCTCTTGCTGTTGCTTGGTTTGGGAAGTAGATTGACTGCACCCTGATAAAGGACTTTGATTTAATTTTATTCTTAACAGACCTTGCTGGCTTTTTAAAGGCTTGGCCCTGTCTGTGCTTCTTAGACAGTGAGCTAAAGACAGAAGAAAAATTAACCCATCATCTATAAGCTGAATAAAAATAAAAACGGCTGGAAAAAAAAAACAACCTCTTGAGCAAACATGTTACTGCTTTTGGGATAAAACAGCAGCACATGTTTCGTACTGGCACATGGAAAGACCAGTATGTAACAAGGTGACATTCCTTTAAAATATTTCTTATTTCAATTGTTTAATCTTCTCTCTGCTGACAAAGCTCCCTTTTTTTCTTCTTGTGTAATCAAAGTCTCTGGCATGTTAGTCTAATTGAAATGACAGGCAAAAGTTAAAAGTAAAATCGATTCTCTGTCACTGGAACATCCCCAAGTGTTTAAAAGGGAATGTTAGCTGAGGAAACAGGAGGTATATGTTAACGAGTTAGAAACTAAAATCTTTTGCTATAGCAGTTTGTTTTAAGAAAATAAGAATCATTAATTTAATGAAGATATGTTTACCAGATTCAATTAAAGAATTAATTATGTGAATAATTGAATTATATTTGGAATAGCTACAGCTGCAAATGTGTGAATGATGCTGGTTTTCTGTGGGCGAAAGAAAGGGATTGAAGACAAGGCATTTCAAAAGGCATTAGAGAAGCTAATTCTTTGATTATTCTATCTTTGGCATTCCAGGGAGAGAGAGCTCCTCTGTTTTGAGGCAATTTTGCCTGCTTTTCTAGCTGACCGCATTGCAACCAGAGCAATTTTGGAGGGTTGTTTGTTTTTTTGGTTTTGTCTTTAACTTCAGTCCTCAGAGCAAGAGTGTTTAGTGCCAGTGCTGAGGCACTAAACAAGGCTGAGGTTTTCCTTTTCTGCTTAGCTGCTCACCTTACCCCAAACATACCATATTTCTCTGAGCTGTGTTTAGCAATTGTATATAGGGTGTATACAGAGACTGTCTCATTGCCATTGCAGAGGGGAGCAGAGCAGCAAGGCACTTCAAGCATGAGATCTGCAGTATTAGGAGTGGCTTCCAAAGGCAGCCATATGCTGCTTTCATAAACCGTGGGAGTCATGGAAAAAACTGTGTAAATTAAACTGGACTGGTGTTTGCTGGAATGAAAGCTTAGCAATAAGGAAGCCTGTAATGGTTAGCTGTTCCTAAATGTTGTACCCACATCCCATGTTAATAGGTGGTTTAGAAGGAGCTTGTGTTAGATAGCTGCATTAATGAGTGGAGCCTAAGTGCCAGAGACAACCTAGTCTGTTTGACTTTCAAATTGACTCTAGGAAATGCTGCCTCATGAATATGAAAATTCAGCCTCCTGTGCCGTGATCAATACATTAATTTTTATGTATGACCTCACAAAGGTCCAACCTGTCAAGCTACAGGCATTTGTCCAATATTCTTGTGTAAATGTCAAGACAGATGACTCTCAAAACCTGCTGTAATATTTCACATAATAATAGAAGTGTCTGCCTGCACTGACCTCTTCATATCAGAAGTGGAAACCCAGGCAAATGCTTGCTAAATGGGACAAACTGAATTGGCATTATGACAGGAACAATGAGATTGGCTAGAAAGTGTGGCAAGGTCCCTATTTGAGCCTGTGTTGAGCCTAGAAAATGGTTAGCTGGAGCAAAACGGTCTCCTCAGAAAAGTTGGTCTCCTCAGAAAATTTAGTCTCCATGGAGGAAACGGAATGCATTCTTGTAGAAGCAAACAGAGGCACACATTTGTATAAAAGCCAGGGAGTTAAGTATTTCAGTTAACAAGCACATAAACTTTAGGTGCCTTCAGCACATACAACTATACCTGGCCTAGTTAAATGGACATCTCTATAGCTGGTGCGGAAACATAGATATGTCAAAGGCATGATTCATCCCACTGCAATGTGTGTGTCTCAAATAGGCCAGAAGAACCTTGCCTTAGAAGTTACCTCTTCACATGATCTCTGAAGGGATTTAAGGTGACTGGCTTAGATACAGATTTCTTCAATCTAGATTTCAAAAATGAGTTGAGATGAGCTCCTGTCTTCCCATGGCTATAGGAGACACCAGCTCAAGAATAAAGAAATGCAGTGATCCATTCAGTAGCTGAAACTGGCTACCAGTTCACACTGGAGAGGTGTTTAATGATATCTCAGAAACATCCCTTATTTATTTGGAATTCACTTTGAAGGACTACATATTGCAATGCTTCCAGGTCAACCTGCCTTTTGAAATGCTAATCAGATGAAATTGGCCTTTACCACCAGCATTATTTGTATATCAAAGAGATTCCTTCCACATTTTCTGTCAGTCTGAATCAAGTTTAGATTACACTGATGCTTTATTTTTGATGCTGATTCCTAGTAAAATCTTCTTTTCTACGTCATTAACATTCTAACTATTTTTAGCCTAGCGTTAGTTAGCCATTACCATGCTCAGTATTGCACAGAGAAGCGCGTATTATTAATTCTAATGGTTCATTACCCCTCTATTTTTACATACCAAAATCACAAAGCCCATGTCAGAAATAAAACTGGCTATATTGAGCATTGTAATACTGTTCAGGGCTGATGAGATTTCCCTTCTCCTCCACCAAGGAGTCGAGCTTCCTGTGGAGGATGTGCTGAGGCGCACAAAGCCCAGGTACCCTGGAGGAATCTCTATATCCCTCTGCACCTTTCCCCGCACAGGTCACTTCAAGCAGACTGCAGAACGTCTCACTGATAAGCAAGTAATGCATAGCAGCCGGCTGGCTTCACTGCAGCCCACAGCCGAGGCACTTGAGTGGCAGTGCAAGAATAGACTGAACTGGCATTTCTTCCAGCGCTGCTTGTCCTTCCCTGCTAATGCAGCTAAATAGCTGAGATGACCTTCTGCTGGGAATCTTTGAATGGAAGTAATTTTGTGATTAAACAAAACTAGGCTTGGGGGAAGCTTGAACAGTCTTTTACAGAATACAGCTTTGTTTCGTGATTCACTACATTACTAAAGGAATAAGCCACCAAATCCAGGCATAAGGAACACCAGCACAATGGTTCTAGGTGACCAAAGACATACCTTGAGTAGTAAGGTCCAGATTTCTCAGCAGATGCAGGACTGAATCTTCTGTTGGGAAAGTTTTGTGTAAAACAAAATTGGTTTGTCAGAACCATTGATGGTAACAATTTGTCAAATATGTTCACCTAAATTGTTTCTCCAACCTGTAAAATAAACAGAAACATAAAAGTCCTACTTTGAATAAAAAGAGTTTGTAAACAAGCTATAGGCCCAGATTCTCCAAATATAAATTGATTGCAACAAGTTATTGTGTCTGCTGTGTTTATTGCTATCTGCCATCTGTTTGGAGCAATTGATACTCATTCAGAGTACCCTGAAGTAACAGGCTTTGTAGCACTCATCTTAGCAGACTTTCTCCAAATACTGTTTATTTTAGTCTGGAAACATTTGTCTCTCCCACCACAGGTAATCAGCGAGTTTGAAGCCTCTCCCGACTCATTTTCCTACAGAATCCCCAACCTGAGCCGGAATCGCCAGTACAGTGTCTGGGTGGTTGCAGTGACTGCTGCGGGAAGAGGCAACAGCAGCGAGATTATCACTGTGGAACCGCTAGCTAAAGGTATGCTGACAGCGTTTTTTAAAGCAATCCAGAACTTTACAATGCTAATTACTTTATAATTGGCACGTGGTTTCTTTATGCCTCATAGCTTACTGAGAGTGAGATTTGTCAGGAGTAACTTCAGTTCTTTCCAAAAGTTAGGTGACAACTCTCAGCTAATTGCCCAAGCTTTTGCTGTAGTCAGCAGAGAGAGAATGACGTGCTTCTCTAAGGGGTAATTCATCTCACCTACCTTAGAAGGAAATAAATTGGTTTTTGGAGGAATTTTTATCTTTTGTTGGGTACAGCAGGTTTGCAGATGATTCCCCTCCCCTTCTGAATGTACCTTCTTTTTCTTTGCCATACAAGATAACTTCTTTATCATCCCTCTCCTTACTAATATCTCGTGTACTCCACAAGTACTATCTTCTGTATAAAATGGTCTGATTAACATATCTAAACTCTGAACAATTGTTCCCAACTTGCATTAGCTTTGAAGTTTGCTGCTTCTATTTCAGATATGAAGAAGGAATAATGTGCCTCAAGTCTTGCATATTTTTTTCCAGCTGTATTAGTTGTTCTATTAAAAGATGTTGCTTGGGCTCATGAATTCTGACTTACCTGTACTGTGAGATGGGATGCTTACAACACTATCGCACCTTGGCTTGGAAAGAGAGATGTAACGTTTTAGACAGCAAAGTGAGAAGAGTCCATCAGTACTCAGTCTCTGCAGGGGGTCTTCAGACTGGTTATTTTTTTTCCCACTCAAATTGGTAACATGGCAGTGTGTGCCAGTATGAACAGTGTGTTGCACAGGTCCCTAGAGTTGCAAAGTTAGATGCATTTAATTGACTTTACAACTTTACAAGCCTGCTAATTCTTCAGTTGTGTGGCTAATGATGTAGCAACGTGAAATAAAGTGTCTTGTGCTTTATGATGACAGATACTTTCTAAAAAAGCTTTGAGAACTTCAGCCAAATGCCACAAACATGAAAGCACTTACTGCATGGACGAACATATACCATCACCATAGGGAAGCTTACTGTTCCTACCTATCTAGGTGGTAGATAACCAGTTTGATGATCACAGCTATTGTCATGGATGGCAGTGATGGTGTTTGGAGGGTACTGTTTCAACACATGACATAGCTTTCCAATGCAGAGAAGTTGCAAACAGTGTTCTGCAGGTTTGTGATGGGAACTTTCATGTCTTTTCTTTGCCCCTTCTCTAGGCTAAAGTTTTTATAGATGAGATGGATGGTTTTCAACATTGCTGTGAGAAGCCTGTAGTAACTACTGTGTTACTACTGTAGATCACAATGGAAGATTTATTAGTGCAAATATGAGGAGGGTCTATCGAAGTAAAGAGGCCTAAGTTGGAACAAGCAGGGAAGTGCTTGCTCCCCATACTATTGTTTACAGGTTTTTTCTGCCAACTGAGAACACTCACCGTCACTTTCTGCTTCTTTCTGGCATTTTTTGTACAGTCTTTCAGAATATCCTTTCTCTTAGTAGCTACTCACTGTTAGTGGAGTGATCTGACAGATATCTGAAAGGCTATGAAAAGTCTGAAGGATCTGAAAAATCTGGAGATTTTCCATTGTTGAATTTCTTGTGGGATAGGTACACACTGCATTATGAACATCAGTGAGACAAAGTTGAGATCTTAAAAGGTGGATGAGGAGTGTAAAGGACATCTGTGAAGGAAGATTGTGAGGAAACACCTCAGGGAAATAGGGCAAAGGTTTCGGTCTGCACCTTGTTCTTGGCCAGCTGTTACCTGTGTGGGATGAATGTGTGGTGATGAAAAGAAAAAAAGGAAACAAAAATAAGCATAAAAATAGATGCTGAAATAAGAGCGAAACCAATTATATGAAAACATTATACAACATGTACAAGCATTGCTAATAGATTGAGGGTTCAGGCAAACCCAGGAGTGTGCAGGGACCCCTGAACATAATGTACTAGAGGTTCCCTTTCTCCATGTCCTATGCATTTAAAAAAGAGGGAGGTGTTCAGATAAGATGAACACAGAACAGTGCAGGCTTTACAGGTACCAAGATTCATAAACTCTAGTTATGAGGAGATGTGGTATATGATTACTCTCAGTTTGCCAAAAATAGAGAAATTACAATTTGACCCACATGTACTTAAACTGAACAAGCTTACCAGAAACTAGAATTAATTCTGCTCCTCCAAAGCTCATGTAAAATGATCCATGATGACAAACAAGTGAACTTAAAAATAGCTTGTATGAAAAGATAAGGAGACTTTAAGGAAAAATAATCAACTACTTCAATATAGACAAGTCAATGTGAACAAGACTTTATTTTGAAGGACAGTAGAATGAATCCAGTCAATGTTAGACCTAATAGTCATACTGCAATATAAAGTCTGCATTAGATGATGCTCAGGACAAGCCTCTCTTACATGCATTTAGGACTGAAAAAGTGACGAATAATCCATTTGTGGAGGTTGTGATGGACATTAGGAATACCAATAGATAGCATTTTTATGAACTTAGCCAGATTAGAAATTATTGTATCATGTACAAGGTTTCCTGTATGAATGCATCACTGGGTCTTTTAGAGAGCTGGGAGAAAGTGGTGATCAGTGATAACGGCAGCGGATGCACAATGGAGAAGGATGGGCAGAGCTTATAGCCTTGAAGACCTTTCTCACTCCCCAGCATGTCTGAAGCAAGTAACACATCATAGAGTTAGAGGCATTATAGCCTGATTTTGCCTTAAGTCCCCGGTGCAAGAACATCCTATGGTCCATTATTGTGAAGTTGTTTGCTTCCTTTTTTTCTCCACTCATTTCACAGTAACTGTCCAAGTAAAGATACCATCATGACAGCTAATGAGAGTTAACTTTGAATTGAATTGTGTCAACTTAATTATAACCCCTTTAAGAACACCTTTGAGAACAATGAGAATGTCTAGATAGGAGTTTGATGTGAAATGGATAGTCCAATTTAAATGAAAGCTTAATTCAAGTTAACATTTCTTTCTTTAGTGTCTCCATTTCTCAGAACAGGTTGTTATTCTCTGTAATTAACTGACAAAAATGAGAAAAAAAAACCCCAACAAACAGAAAATAATCACGGCAATGAAAGTTCAGCCTCCACGTAAACGGGTTACACCCCCGCCCGTCAAATTATGCTTCATTGCTGACTTGAAAGTTGTGGGTTTAGCCTGTCAAATATATCTAAAAGACAGAAAACCTTGCATGCACCTTGTTCCTTTTATTTCCTGGCCATGTTTGATGGAGCCTGGCATTTGCCAGCAGCATGATGGTAACAGATCTGGACCCATGGCTATCTGATCCTTTCATTCTCTGACTTTAATGTTGAGTTTCCCCTGTTCTTGAAGACCACCTGAGCATTAATGTTGAACAGATTTGCTTCCTAGCCTATGTTACTTTGTGTGTTCAGTGTTTGTAAACAACATGTGGGGCTCACATGATAGTACACACACACCATTGGTCTGTTTCTTTAATGGTTCATCATACTGGAATTCACAGGGTAATCTGTGAGAAAGCAAATGAAAGAAACTCCTGATCCAGGGTATTCACTGATGGCTCTTGTCTTTGGATTAAGCTGAGCTGCAGTAAGATGTCATAGCTCTTGTTCAGTTTCCCTGTACAGTTTGTCTTTAAAGTTCAGTTGTGTCCTCTAGATAAAAAAAAAAGAAAAGAAAAGAAAAGAAAAGAAAAATGTGTTATGGCCTCTTGCAAAGAATTTCTGCCCATTTCTTATTCTATGACAGTTAGTCTAGGTAATAGGATTCATAATTTAAACAAACAAACATGCAGAAAACTGCATTAGCGTGAGTGCACTGTTCTGTGAAGGCACCTCTTTATCTTCAGTTAATGATTGTGTAATTTGCAAAAAATAAGAACAGACACAGTCCTAATCCTGTGGGTAGTTGGTAGGCATGTGGGTAGCTTCAATAACAGAGGTAAGCCCTGCAGCTGAATTGCCCACATGCTGTGTAAACATCCCTTGGCACAAAAAGGAGAGATCTGTGAGATTCAAGGTGTTCTAACCTCATGAATGCCTACAAGTGTTTCGAACCTATTGCTTTCAGATTAATTTCACTAGACATTTATTTGGTTTCTAGTTTTCTTTTGTTTGTGCACCTGTTAGCAGTCTCAGGACATTTTTAGAAGTTTAGCTATAAAGAAAACTGGAGTTAAGAATTTTCATGCTGTTTTACCTTTTAAAAGCACTCAATACATGAAAGGAATAAGATAATCCATAAAAAGCTGTGGGTACTTTCAAAAAAATAGTACAGTATGCTTTTGTAATGTGCACTTCTGAGTTATGGTCTGTGATCTTACTACCAGCTTAGGCTTCTGTGAGGTTTGTGCTATATCCACACATCACTGTAAAATGGGGCATATAGCATATTGAAAACCAGGAGCTACAACATAAATGTTGTGCTTTGGAGATCTGATATCCGACCTGTGAGTTAAGGAAGAATTCACATTGAAATAACTATTAAAAATAAAGGGATATCACAGAAAGTTTGCTAACAGTGGTGCCATGTCATG